TACATACAGGAATCATTACACGTTAAAGAAAGACCTTCCTCTTGTGATGTCAAACATCAAGCACTACTACACATATATTCTGCCGTAAAAAAATGTTTTTCTCTGGCTTTTGAAGGAAACACCAACTCATAACGAAACACACATCCATAACCTGTGACCTCCAACAACTGCTCGAGAAACAATTCAATCTATCGGTAAGAAGAAACATGAGGACAGAGTCCCCCCGAAAATTGCACAATCCCTTCAATGTCAACAACACATCTCTCTTCAATGTCAACAACACATCTCCAAGAGGCACCCCCTGATTTCTAGATTGTGTCTAAGACTTAATACAAAAATGCAACCTTTCCAGGAAAGAGCAGAAAGGTGATTTTAATATACATAGTGTAAACTTTGCCAATAGATCTCAGAATGTCCACGATAAGAATGACTTCTTTAAAAAGTTTACTGCCATACAAATTTCTAAACAGAGGTAGTCTCATGAACTAGAAATGTATCGGGACGGTGCTACATCTGAGATAAACATGCACTACGTATACAGTGTGGTCAGCCGTTAAAAGAAATACTCCAACATCACTCTGCCAGTGCTTAGATGCGAGTACTAGCTTGCACTACCTCGATTCGCTGAGTGTAGAAAGTTACCAAAGTCACCCAACTAACCACTTTAAGTCATCTGCTTTATATTCGCACTATTGTACACCTGTCAAAATTTAAGAAAGTAGCACACTCTTGACACTCGTGCGTTACCATTAACGATGTACACCACTGTACGTACTTAAACTTTTGTGGCTGATGCTAGAAAAGAAATAGCACCAAACAGCATTCACAATTTTCTACACTCACGAAAACGACAACTAGGGCAATCTCCCATGTTGCAACAACAGTTGAAAACGTTTTGACACAGAGGCTGAATAAAAGAGGGGACACTTCCCGTGCTTACGGAGGATTGAATTGTTCACTTACGTCGCCAACGATTCTACATCAGAATTATGGCACTGCCCCATGTGCTTCTGGGATATAAACTTTACACCTTCCCGTCGTCAGTGTGTGATAGAATGTATAGACGACAACTAAAAAGCACTTTAAAACTATCCACACATCTCTACTAAGTGTGCTTCCTATGAGTGTGTTAATTGAGGTTTCGTTGGCCTCTTATTGTTTGTTATATAAAAAAGCATTGGCATTACTTTCGGTACATCTGCAATTGACCTTTGAGCTGAACACTGATATAATGATTGCAGATATGTATAGTATATAATGCACAAATAAAATTTGATTCCCATGCTTGTCTTCACAAATGTGCTGTACTATAATAATTACGCAGAAAACGCGAGATCCCAGTCTGTACCGTTTATGGTAAAATCAGTACTTGTTCTGTTGCAGCAACAACCTGCAATGTAGCTCTTTGAGTAGAATGCCTTCTCTTTGTGAGGAGAACTTTCTTGGTTTAAAAAGACAACATAAAGATGAGCTAAAATGCAGGCTTGTTAGTAGTGAATCATCGTGAAAAGAGTTGGGCTTGCACATGTATCAATATCAATGTAAAGATCAGAGATGTACTTAAAACAACTTAGATCTGAGGATACTTGAAACCAAGTCAGTGGATTGAAGTTTGATACCATTCACAATGTACACATTATCATGAGCAATTCAGCTATCACTGTGTTTAAAGGTTCTGAGGAAAGTTTCATGGCTCTCTCTGTAGCATTATGATAAAGCGCTCTGCAGCAGGTCATTCCGGTTCAATAATAGAAAACTCGTTGGAACAACAAATTTAATGCAACTGACGAGTGACAGAGATGCCGCTGAGACCACGCATAACAAAAGACCAGCAATTTGAGGAATCGTGCATTTAAAAAAAAGCTATGAAGATATGCCGCATGTTTCTTTGAGAAGCAGGCAAGTGAGATATCACGACTACTACTTTTTTTTTGTTCACTTGGTGAGCGCTGACAAAAGCTGATGAACAAACGTACTTTCCTTCAAATGACGCAATGAATGGCGATAGCTAAAATGTGAAAAAAAATGGAATGTAGGTATACCAATTTGTGTAACCTTTCTGAACAGTCACAGAGCACCAAACAGTTTTCCCACCAGAAGAAAAGCAACTTAATTCTTTGACAAGCATTACAATTTCAATTCACTGGTTATGAGTCCACAGGCACTTGTGATATCCAAGTAGGTCACTCAATTAGCCATTGACAAGAACAACTGCCTACATACGCTTGCTATGTCGACATCAGCAGCATCACGAGTGCATCTTTCTCGAGAAACAAAAAGTCCTCATTAGGCATTTGTGTCTGCTAGACTGAGTGAACTGAAGGAAGAGAATGCTTTCTTATGCAGAAGTGCGTTATGCAACAGCATAATTACGTTTGATGAACAAGTCAATGCTCAATAAACGCGGGCACAAGTTCAAATACCAACATGTAGAGTGACAATTGAGACGGTGACTGTGTCGCATGTGTCGTCACAGTCAATAGCACATGTCGGCAAGGAAAGCGTCGGCATTGAGGTAATATTTTGACAAGACATACTCATTTTGCGAGAAGGGTTCCATTCCAGCTAACTACTTGGACGAGGACAGAAAGATGTACGGGAATAAGGCGGCTATATGGAGCGAAACAGTTTTTGTACTCTAATCTCAATGCCAAGTAAGTACGCCATTCGCTAACTCAAACCTCATTAAAACAAAGTTGCATTTTACACGAAGATAGGTACATTATATCAAAAAATTAGTTATAAAGGTATATTCCTAACACTATATTAGAGCAAGACTATTTTCCATTTACTTCTTTATAACCGATACTTTATTATATCTGGGTTCGATATATTGAAGTTTGAGTACAATGCACAGCTAGACTAGCAACTGAACTGTTAAAATGAACTGAACTGACCTGGAATAGCAACCGAACTGTCAAGTTGCTAGTCTAGCGGTGTGTCGTACGTTTTTCGGTCCTAGTCCAAGTAATTTGGCGGAAACACCCCCACTATGTGCAATACCAGTACTCATTTTGGTGAACCCCCGGCAAAGTCAAACCAAAGTTGATGCACTCGTAAGCGCACCGATTCATGCTCACATAATGCTCATTTCACAGGCATCAGCTATAGAAATAGCAAGCGAGGGGGCTTTAGCATAGATCAAAGTTAGTGCCGGTGAGTTTGCGTAGATGTGCTAATCAGTCACCTAGTCAGGCAACCAATTGCCATTGCCTCCCATGTTTAATAACGCAACAGTCATACTTCGTCTGCCGATCAGTCAAATAAATAAATAACGATGAATGGGTGCCGTAAAAAGCGTTTATTGCTTTTATGTTGTTATATCCTTGTTTTGGCTGCTTTATGTTGCATATATTCCCTTTCTTTTCATTTCCGAAATATTAAGCCTTATTTGTTTTCTATGCCCTCTCCTGTATAGGCCTGAAACGGCCCACAGTATTGAATAAATAAATAAATAATAAAGTTTTTGCCCGCGACCTTGAGTGGATGTGAATATGAACCTAACAGACTGTCAGCAACTGTAAGGGTAAGTGAGTATGTATGTGAAGGAGTGCTGGCAAGTAGGAACAGAGGCTATATACAAAGTATGAATAAGCGTGAATGGAGGCGACTATGATTGCGAGTTGGTACTGATGAGTGAACATAAGTAGGAACATAAGTGACTGCCAATGAATGTTGAGCAAGTACACAGCCGGCAAAAGGTATTCGTGTGCGTGAATATCTGCTTAGTTTGCGGACCAATCGAAGAAAAATACGGTTGTTGAAATATTGCCTGCAAGAAGGGGTCTCCGTTGTTCCCACAATATCGACCAGTTTGCCTTTACCATCAGGTAAAGTCAAACCAACACTGCGTCCCAACACTGCGAACTTCTGACCAGGACGACCACTTATCATTCCCTTCCACAGATATCTGCATAACACCGGTTTGCAGCTACATCGCCTACTAACATAGTTGCATGGGATCTGACCTGCTAGGAACAAGTTCAAAGATTGCAGAGAGAGAGAGACTGCGAACCAAACTGCTTCCTCAAGGTTTACGATACATACATGAATAGCCACCAGCACTGCACTGTTACTGTACTTGAATATGGAAGCCTACTGTTTCTTCCAAACAGGTGTTGCTCTACTCTTGAACTTCTTGAAATAAGCGACACTTAGTGTGTGTATTCTTCCCATAATTAGAACTAATGCTCATAGGTCAGTCCTCGTTAGAAACCAGAGAGAGCATGCCTGGCAGATTCAAGTCAAAAACTTGTGCAAGCGGCGCTACCTGGCAGAAAATAACGATACTACTGTGATGTCACCATTTTCTCAAAGATAATGAAGAGCACTGAAGGGTACGTGACACGATCTCAACGTCATGTTGAAATGAATGCCTGACACATTTAAGGTTGAAGCACTGCAGGCATCGTACAGCTTCAGATAGCTTCACTTCAACCATGATTCCAATGACAAAAATGATGATAAGCTTGCGGGGCACCATTACGACTACTGCCTAGTCTGTTCGTACTAGGTACGTTAACGCTTTCAGTGCCAGCCTGACTAGCATCCGAAATTCTGAACAAAAATGGCCCAATTTCATTATTGGCCTCCTTCCTACTTTCACAAACTAATTGTATGTGTGCTGCAACCTACCAGAGCACGACTAAGCACTGAGATGAGGCCAGAATGTATGTGGCAGTGCACAAAAGGTAAAGGTCCGTTGACACTGAGCTGTTCTGTGGTCATTTTTACCGGTAATGCTTGGTAAAGCACAGCTCGTCTGTGTCTTGGGAGAGGTTAAAAAACACTGTGTTTAAATATAAGTATTGTGTGATGATGCCATCAAACGCTAAGCAAAATTCATGCCTTTCATGACCGTGTTGCAGCCTACCCCCCTTAACTGATGTGGAACATTCAGACTGCATTAATATCAAACAGCAAAGGCAGAGGCACAAGTGTGTGTGTGTTGCTTCAGCTATGGCATTGCACTGGTGATGACTGTACAGATAAGTGCACTATCTTTGGCCTGTGCTCGTCTCTTACCTACGTCTGGAACGAACGAGTGTCAGCTAGCGTCCATGTCGACCAGAGTCAAACTGCGCTCAACGTTCTCCTATCCAACAGCAAGGAGAATGTGACGGCTGCGTACGAACAGTGGCACCTAATATGAGTTGCTACACTGTGGCCGTGGTTGGAGGTGCCCCAAGCCTATACTGCAACACTGGCAAATATTAAATTGGCTTTAAAAATACCAGTAGTCCAAACAGTATTTATGTCAGTGATTGTTTTTTATGTCATTGCCACCATGCGGTGCTGACGCCGCTTTGACAATGGGTAGCATGTTGCTACTCATTGGGTGTGACTGTATTTTCGTGCAAATGTAGCTAAGCACCACCATTCGCAGACGTGACCCCAGTGCACGTGAAAACATTCCTAAACTTTGCTTCCGCTTAGAATAGCATAACTACGTAGTTGTAGCACAGACGGTCACGTGATACATTCCGAACTACACCACTTGGCGGCGTCGATACGCGGGCTGGACGGCGGCGTGCAGAATTCGACAGAGCCGCAGGTGCTGACGCTGGACTGCGACTGGATCCATACAGGCGGACGGGGTGGAACTTTGGGTGGTGGGGTTTCGAAGATAGGCGTGACGAAGTTGGTGACTGCGGCATCATCACTCTGAAGAGGCTCCGCCTTGGGATCACGACTGGTTGCGTCAAGAGGGGGTGGGATTTCAGTGTCGGCGGGAGACGTGTCCTCCGAGGCCTTTGAGGGCGGACACGTCGACGTGCCCTCGGGAGGCGGGGTCTCGGCCTGCGGAGGGGACGAGGAAAATTCCGGAGGCGGAGAAGACGAAGAGCCGTGGGGCGGACTGAGCAGCTCCGAGGAACACGGCGGTGGCAGACAAGGCTTTTTGAGCACCAGCGGTGCCTGACTGGGACTCATTGGCGGCCGCCGTTTGGCCCGAACGCCCCGGGGCAACAGGTCTCTGCAGTGAGAGACACTCATGCAATGCACACTTTCCCGTTCCTCTGCACTGGCCGTGATAGGCTAAACAGAAAGCAGTGCAACAATGTGCTCTTCACCAGTATTGTAACCATACTCTGTGCTTAGTTGGTTGCTTCTAAATTGTTATTGTGATTTAGCTAGGTGATGCTAGGTTGTTCATACATTGATTCTTAGTGCAGAGAGGTTTGTGTCAAACCACAATCAGTCACAGACACAACATGAATGTCCATGCTGCACAGACGGGAACTTACACTGAAACAGAGCATTCACACCTCTCGCAGATCTAGGCACATGTCGTCATTCGCATAGGGCTTCCATCACCCGTCTGTTGGCTTCTTTATTTTTAGTAAAATAGCAGTAAGAAGTAGGATTTGCTCGAATTTTGCGACACATACCCTTTCTGATTACTTCATTCTTCTTTCTCTGCTCTTTCTTTTGTATGTGGAAAGATTCCCACCACAGACATGCAATGGCTCGCCCGGCAAGAAGTTCTTATCTATCTGACCTACCAGTACATGATGATGATAGTTGTTTTTGTATACACCAATGTTTTTATGGCCGACTTAAACAGCAACACTGCTAAAGATTGCACCACACAGAAATGCGGTGTGCCTGCTTTTCATCATGATAAACGCCCACGCTAGCTGGTTTGTGCTCGAACTAAAAGAGCTTTTTTTTTTCGGCCGATGTAAATACTATGCATAATCAGAGCTAAAGATTCATCGTTATTAATTAAAAAAAGATACTTGGTTGAGCAGCAATGCCAATTTTTTATGAAATTTACCATGGAATTCGTGTTTCTAACTTGAAAACAGTGACACAAAGGTGGGTCTGCATGGGATATTGGCTATCTGTAATACTCGAAAAGTGCTTGACGTCGCAAAAATGAGCAAGCACTTTTGGACGAATCAGTTATAAAGATTGTCTGTAGGAGGGGCAGTAGGGAGTGTGGATAGAGCGGACAGTTTTCCTTGGTTTTAACAGAGTACAGAATTTGTTTTGATTACAATGTGCTGCCCTGGGTTGATTGGCGGATCATGGGCGAGGCCTTTGCCCTGCAGTGGGTGGTGTCAGGCTCATGATGATGATGATGTTTAACTTTTGCTCTTTTGCTTTCAAAGGTGTATTGATTAAGGATCGAATTGTAGTTTTCTACTTTAGGACCTATGTCTACATGTTTCCTACATTGTAATTTTACCAACACAAAGTCCAACTGATTAAATGACAGTGTCGAGAAAGAAACGATGTAGGCTTACGCTTTTTCGCTGTCAGAAGACTCTCCACCATCGCACGAAGATACCGATATAGATCGCGACGTTTTGAGTTTCCTGAAAAGACAAATGCAAGCGGCGCTATCTCGGCACCTGTTCTCCATCACGTAATCGTTATGGCAATTTTAAGCGTGGATTTTCGTAAACACAGGAGCTGCCAACATACCCTTTATTGCGATAGAACCTTTGAACATCTCGCAGGAGGTGTTTGGCAGTTGAGCTCAGATTGGTCCTCAGGATGGGCTGAAATAAAGTAGTAATGCAATGCACACAAAAGCTCGCAGATTACCACTTCACATTGCACATCCAGTACAGTGGAAAACACAAATAAAATGACATACACCTTGGACTCTCACGGATGGTGTACGTCTTGCAATGCCCAAGCACAATTCTATGTAAAGGAATATTATTGACAACTTCAGCCATAGGTTGGCGAACTCACTCTTAGTCCGACTTACTCGGACTCACTCAGCATCAAATGAGCCCGCAAGTCGCAGTCTGAGTGAGACTAGGTGAGTAATATTTTGGCGAGTTTGAGTCTGAGTGAACCCGGTTGAAGAAAATTCTATCAAGTGTGACTCCGAATGAATCCAGCTCGGGAAAAGTTTGGAGAGTCCGAGTGAGTCCAAAGTGCAAGGTTTATTTCTTCAGCGAGTCTGAGCGAGTTCCACTTTTGCCGACCTATGGTTTCGACCGACTTAGTCGCAAAGGCTGGTTAAAGAATGGATCTGATGGCATCAGTTCTAGCTTGGCCACTGCTCAATGTTCCAACACGAATGTGAGGCAATGCGAGGTGAGAGTCTCGAAACAAACGTGCGACTCTCCATTTTTCTACGATTCCTGTCTCCTCTCCACACCACCTGATACGCTCCCACCATAGCCTCTGCTCCCCTACCCTCTGCCCAGCTTCACCTTCTCCACATTGCTACCCCTCTCTACCAGGCTGCCCTCTCACCCACTTTGCTTTAACCATGCCCTCCCCCTTCATGAGGCTTCGCTCTCACAGCTGCGTTAGAAAGTGTGGTGGGCAACGGATCCCCACGAATTCGATTCTGGCTTTAAACAACACCACAACTAAATAATGAGAGCTATGCGATTACGCAATAGCTAGTAGATAGCGTGGATTTACTACGAAGACACAACACGGTAGACTTCGTCGTAAATTTCCACTATTCTTGCTATTTGTTATCATACAAACTAGCCCGAGCTAGTCATCTTTTAAGTTACTTGTTTACCTTTACTCCTAGCTTAAAAGTGCTGCCATATCCACGAAGTGAATGATAATGAGTGGGCGAAGCTCCGGAGGTAAACTTGGTAAACCATGAATCCTCCGTACATTTTGCCCACTCGATTTTATTACAACGCTCCCCCTAGCGTACGTCACTGCACTAAATTGAAGGATTGCCTTCCACCATTGACACGCGCCATAGGTGACGTCATTCCTATTTTATAACATCTCGCATCTTTCATCATCCACTACAAGTACTACCGTCTAGTTTATAACATCTTGCATCTTTTCATCACCAGCTACAAGTACCGCCATCTAATGAACACTGCAAAAACTAAACGAGAGATGGCTACATCCAGGGGACGGTACCACCATCTAGTGAACACTGCAAGAACTAAAAGAGAGGTGGCTACATACAGGGGACGCACAGCCCACGCCTTAAGGAGCTTCGTCCCTAAAAGAGAACATTTGCACATCAAATGCAATGAAATATTATACGATCAAGAGCTTCCTTAGTAAAGTAATCAATTAGTTAACTAATGACTAGATTAGCTACACTGTCCAGCATATAAAAATTTACACTATGCAGATTTTGCAGTAAGTTTCTGGTACTTGAACCCTAAATTTGAGGTACAGAGCTCAGCATAGCAGAAATCATGTGCTGGGCAATGTAGGGTTGATTCAAACTGCTAAGGAATGCATATATTCATCTTAATAAAGGATGTATGAAAGGTGTAGAGGAGTAGGCCACTGGCTACTGACTGTTTCTACGAAAATGAGACTAACGAAATCCATACAGTCACAACCAGGACATATGAGAGGTGCAAACTGTCAGCCAAAACAATGATCTTTGAATTTGTATTTCGAATGGGCTTAAGCGTTTATGTATATAAAAGGCACGAGCTAATAAGGAACTGCCAACAAGCTATGCTTCAGCACTATTCCACTCGATTCCTTCAACGAACACAACATTCTACGTGGCACTCGTGACATGCAGTCTTCATTTCCTTACAGTTGTTGTCATGCTGTTCTTCATCGTTGACCAGACGCCAAGCTGTAAACGGACGCCTGGTCACTAATTTTAGTCACGAGAAACATTTATTCCACATTTGATTTCACATTCAGATGTCATTTTGTTTTTTTAAGTATTCGTACGCATTTGATTCATTTAGAAAAATTCACTACTTGAGCAGCGCTCCGCTTTGTTTGATAAATAGTAGCAGGTAATGCCGTGACGGCCGGAGGCACTTTCCTAACTGTTCTCAATGAGTGAAAAATTGTGCTTCACACTTGAAAGACAGATGGAGGAATCAACTGTGTAAGAAGGTCTGACTTCAACACTTTCATGTCATGAAGTACACATTTATTCCATAAGGGACATGGCAGATATTAATCTGATCACTACAAAATTTACAAAAAAAAGTGTAGAATATTGACAGCCCTACCATAATAAGCCGACAGATGAAGAAGCCCGCGAAAGCACGGGGAGTGCCATCTGTAGTCTTTTAAAAGAGCCCTGCCACAATTTCTTAAGTAAGTATAGAATGGTTTCATTATAAGAACTTCTTGCCTCACGAATTAAACGCCACAAAAAAATTTTTAGAATTCATCAAGTATGGCAGAGTTGCACGAGCTTGTCCCCCGCTCATACTAGCGAGCGCACTGAAAGCTATGCGAGGAGGGGGACAACAAGGGGTAAAAGGATGCGCCGTTTCATCTGCACAAGTCAAGAGCTTGAACAATTTCTTTTCTTTTGTTTTTCTTCGAACATGCAGCTTACTGTTGGTGCGATCATGAGCGCGCGTGGGCACACCACAGCATCATCTATCGGGGGCCATGCTAACTATGAAACTCGTTGTGCTAACATTATGCCCATAGCCGTATATTTGGGTATATGGAGCAGCAACCTGAGTATGGTATATGGCATCATTTGCAGAGAGAAGAAAAAACGATTTCTAGCTGACTGAAAATTCATCGTAAATTCCAGGTAACGTGTCATGCCACAATATTTGGCTCGCGTGCTTTCGGGAGCATGGACGACTGATAAGGGGCGTTTTCTGACCGTGCTGAAAGGGTGTGGCAGGGCCCCTTTAACTGACCTGCAGTAATTGTGGGATAAAAGAGATTGAAGGTGGAGAAAAAAAAATCACGGCGGAAATGTTTCTGATAGCAGCCGCTGCAGTTCAAACAACCAAAACAGAGTAGATGTCGCATACTAGAAGCACGAAAGTGGGAAAATATGAACTTTATTTAATATAGCTTTACACCGTGACGTCTGATTCACAGCATATCACGTAATTACTTTATAGAAAGCATTGCTGATCTAAAATTGCCACATCATGAAAAACACGAAGCAAGGGCTTTGTGATGACATGACTGAAGTAACTTTTACAGTGTTGTTTGCCATTTAAGATATCGAAGAGCCATAAGCTAAGCTTGTCTAGATCTAGCATTAGCAATGTCAACAAGATGCGGTTGAACGTAAAAACGCCTCGGAACTCACAGGCACGGTGTGAGTGGTGAGCTCACGTAGGTCAATATTGCGAAAGAAATCCAGCGTGGCGACCTACAAAAAGAAAGAGAGCCCCAATTGTAAATTCTCAGAACTTGTGATGTTTTGCATGACAAAGACACAGTATCATTACAAGCCACACCTTCGCGGCGACTGCACATTAACTTCGACAGCTTGAGAACCCTGAACACACACCTACATTAAAGTGCACAGGTGTTTTCGCATTTTGTTCCCATCGAAATATGGCAGTTGTGGGAATCGAAATCGCGCCTTTGGGCCTATCAGCGCAATGACAAAGCTTTTATCTACAGTGGCACCTGGAAGTGCTTGATTCATGCTTCAATCTAACACAAAAATCTTGAATCTTTGGTCTTGCTTGGATGCTATACAAGAAACATGCCACGCCTTGGGTACTGCCTTGGGTACTGTCTTGGGTGTAGCGGAAAGCCGTCCCATGGAATCTTCATGACCACACGAAAGGCTATCGAATGAGTCTGGCAATGGAAACTCGCATTCAGCCTTCATTTATGCAGAGCATTCATTAAAAATCTTAGGCTTGCCCCGTAAGAGTTACCTATATTTCGCTGAAGTGCTTCTGTTCTGTTCTGTGTGCCACACAAAAAGGCCCACGCAATACCATCATGTAATGTTTTTTTTTTTCTAGAAGACAAGTTTTCAAAACTTAGTAAGTTACAACATCCTTTTATCTATACTGTTACCACTCCCCACTGCTCCCACTTTCACGATTTAAGCATAAGTGTCAGGTAGGAATTCTCTGTCAATAGATGCTCCTGAAGTTGACATATTTATTTATTTATTCATATATACATATTGCAGCCTTATTTGGGGCTATAGCAGGACTGAGATGTTATATAATACTAAACACCAAAAACACAAGAAATGCAAGGAAATACTACAAATGGTAAGGAAAATACATTTATAACCAAACAATAATGAAAATAAAGTTGATTACGGATTAGTAAGACGTTCATCGATAGCAACTATGAAATCTTTTAGCGGTAAGGAATGAATGTGACCAGAGAAGGAACTTCAGAGCTCTATTGTACGTAGAGCACTATTGATATGTGTTTATGTATTTCTCTGTCCCCCTGCTTGGTGCACATTGCTAGGTGTTTGATACGTTAGTAATGTTCACGGTTTGTAAAACAGTTTCGACACACAAAAAAAACTTACCTCTTCTAGAGTTGGATAATTGTGATTTTGGTTCTCGAAGATGAACCTCAAAACCTGGATGTCAAATGAAAGAAGCCAAATTAAAAAAAAAAACACCTCCGTACATGATTCAACCTTTGTTAGGAGCACCATGTTAGATATGCAAGCCACAGCCTCTTTAAGTATGGGACCGATAAGCATTGAAACTGAAATACGAACCCTACACGAGCAAGCAACCAAAGGAAAGCAAGAAAAAAGAAAGAAGAATGCGCCTAAGTAATTTTTCAGTATCAGAAACCAAACCAATTAGTATGCAAACTTTGCCTCCCATTGTTGCCTCTATGAACACCCCATGTTGATCCGGCATATATGGTTCGACAGACATCTCTGTCAACAGATGCTCCTGAACAGTTCATTGTTGTGTAATTTGATTAATTAAAGAAGTCACATTTACAAACGGTAACACAGTGAATGAAGGGGTTAAAGAGGCCGTGACAATCCAATTTTCGATCCTAATATGTGCTACGCGAGTAAATCCTTGCACACTGACAAACAAGGTGGAGAATTTTAAGTGCATTTGGTGGAGCACTTAGTTTATTATCGAATATTTTTATAAGTGTGCAAGGGGCTTGAGAGTCTGGCAACACTGGCACACCCTCATGGCGTGACGTAAGAAGCTGCTTGCTGTGCTAGTGTCTGCATCACAGCGAACAATTTCGTCAAGTGCTCAGCTGCTGACGCGATCCCAGCAATGTCCGATGGATTCAGCTTGGGAAAGAAATTGAACGATTCACATTGCCTGAGCAACTCCGCTCCACACTGCACATGTCGTCAGGCACGCCACGGCAAAATGGCAATCTCCGGCGACACTTAAATGCATAAAGATTCTTTGCATATTAGTAAAGTACAATTTCACAATCCCAAAAACACCACTCTTAGGCCAACACGACGCTTTGTAAGCGAGAAAATGCACCAAAAGAAAAAGCAAGTGGCGAAGCCACCTTGAGCATCCTGCACCAAACATCATGACGCAAGAAATTTCGAAGGCGTCTACTGGGTCCTACAAAGCTTCCAATTGTTGAAAATGAAGTACAATGTAATCTGTTGGTGCCAGTGACTTAGCATATGAAGTTTCAGAAAATATCTAGCCAATGCCACAAAAATACCGCAAATACATTTTGAAATTTTTTACATCACGCATGGAGATTTTGGCGCGAAATTCAAGAATACAATTTTAATCTTCATTTTCTCCACTAATAATAAACTTATGATAGTAAAAGATGTGAAATAGAGTTCTCTGAAAGCATTTTGTCAATCCAAAACAAGTCGTTCCTCTTTAGAGTCCCTTTAGAGGAAGGAAACAAAATGAGAGAGAGGAAAGGCATGAATGTTAACCAGTTTGGCAAAACCGGTATGCTACCCCACACGTGGGCAAGAGAAGGCGGATATTGAAGAAGAGTATGAAGTTTCATGAGACAAGTAGACACAACGCTCATTTGTTGGCAGGTTCTTCCATTAGTACAAGTCCTCGTCTTTCTCATCTTTTCGCGCTGGGCGAGCGCGAGAGCTCCGTTGCCGCTCTATATCGTCACAAAAAAAAGGGAGAAACGGAGGAGGAGCACACACGCACACACATAACACTACAGCGCAGAGTGGCAGTCTTGTGCGGTTATACGACATCATTAGGAGTCTACGGCCGCTCGTGCAAGTCTGTTGCCCTTGGAAATTTCAGCAATGACTTGTTTACTTGAATGCTATACGACTCTACAAGATGAGCTTGGGGAATAGTCTCTAGTGTCATCATTCTTCTGTCAAAACGAGCGAGAGCGATTGAAAGGGATCGTCTCTGCATGATCATTCAAAAAGCACTAGTACGTAACAGCGCAGATGCACAAACCTGATACACTTCGGGGCAGTGTTCAACGTCTGCATAGTTCTTGTCCGTAGGCTTTGTGGTGGACATTTCGTAACCGGCGGCCATTTCAAACAGAGCATGACCTGGTGTGCGAAAGTACACAAAAAACTGCATTTGAGGAAGAGGGTGCCGCATTTATTTATTTATTTATTTATTTATTTATTTATTTATTTATTTAACAATACCGCCAATCTCATCAGAGATTGTAGCAGGGAGGGCATATGAAAGCAAATATTTCATTACACAAACTCATAATGATGGAAAACATACAAAAAAAGCCGGAATTACAAAATGACAATTTTAGTAATGGCAAAATCATGAACTAGGTTATCGCTAAAAAGGACTGCAAGAAGATAATGCATGCGCGTGCCCGCACGCACACACGCATGCACACACACACACACACACGCATGCACACACACACACACACACACTTTTTTTGCTTATTCGTAAAACATTAGTCAGCAGAATCCCCAACTACGTTTCACACAGTAATAAGCCTACATACTGGAGGGTGCACAATTTCAGCCAGCAACGTGCAAATACACAGCTACGTCAATTGATTGATTGATTTGTGGGGTTTAACGTCCCAAAACCACCATATGATTATGAGAGACACCGTAGTGGAGGGCTCCGGAAATTTCGACCACCTGGGGTTTTTTAACGTGCACCCAAATCTGAGCACACGGGCCTACAACATTTCCGCCTCCATCGGAAATGCAGCCGCCGCAGCCGGGATTTGAACCCGCGACCTGCGGGTCAGCAGCCGAGTACCTTAGCCACTAGACCACCGCGGCGGGGCACAGCTACGTCAAATACAAAGACGGAACCTGCTTTAGAGTGCTGTATGTACTTGTGAATAAGTCTCAGCTTTTCCTTACACGAATAAGAACTGCAGCTACAAATTAGCGCAGTAGTGCCACTGTGACTAAAGTGTTTATTTACATTCAGACCTCAATATAACGAATCATGTCATAGATACAGTGCTGCAAATATGCGTTTATAATGCATTTTTTGACATACTGAAGTATTTTCGCAGCAGGTGTGACTATCGCTACAATGAGGTTCGAGTTCACAGCTGCTTTTGTGTTAATCACTGCTATGCATTCGTCTCAATGTTCCACTCCCAAAGCTAATCATTCCTAGCATTTTCCATGGAATTTGGTAGCCCCATGACTCTAGAAGTCTTTGCAATAATGTCCGCTGAAAACAAACAGCATACATCCAGGATTCAAATGCACACTTTAGTTTTGTTTTTAAATTACTTTTTCAAATGTTTTCAATCCAAAGTAAGAGGTGCAGGCAATAAACAGTGGTAGGTTATACACGAGCACATACATCAGTCTGCGTACTGTAATCAGCTAGCTCATCGCAATCTGCATTGTTGTGCATTTTCGTAAATTAATCTCTGTCTGTTCAGTGCAACTATCCAAGACAGTTCAGCTTTTATCTCTTGATAATGGAAGCTACTTTTCCAAGTGGCGCCAGTTCCTTGTACATACACGTATAAAGTAGTGCTACCTAACATTCGAGGATGATAGTGGCCAGCAATAGAACGCCATAACACACTTACACTTATGTGCATTACATTGACCAGTAATTGGTATCTGAAATTCGTAACCTTACCACGTAAATAGTTTGCCACTCATTTCACTTTCGTCAAACAATATCCCTCTTAAACCTTGGTATATTGAACATGAATACATACAATCAGAGGGGGTAACGCAGTAAAATATGGCTGGTTCTTCCTCATTTCAGCGTGCACTGTACTGTAACTAGAAAACCCCCAAGAATGCATGATCCAACAAGGTATCTTTTATAGAGAAGCAACCTTTGGTGGTACATGGCTAGCTGTTTTGTCCCTGCAACTTCTGAGATCATTACATGTGGACGTCTCTGGGAGGTATGCACAAAGCACTCTTGCTTGCTTTTTCTGTCAAGTACAAGCTGCAGCATCACACTCAGTCTTATTAATTCACAATGTTGGCAAATCCTACTTCATGGCACAATTGATCACTCACTCTCACTCACTCACTCACTCAATCAATCAACTTTGCATTTATTATAGCGGCAACAACAGTGCCAGCTCTTGTGAATATGTTGCTAACAGCTTTGGCATAAGGAAACCAATGCTATGTAGCAAATTGAAACGTTTTTTAAAATAGTCCCGACCTTTGTATAACTTATGTCATCCTTACACACATGTTTGGCACATAAAAGAACTTTAAAAAATTACACACAAAAAAAAGCATCTGCTCTCCTTAAGCAATTCAGGAAAGCAATTACTAGTACAATGCTCACCAAAGCAGACAGCATCGACGACCTCCTTGTCATCACAAATGCGCTTGCGGATGAATGCAGAGACCCTGGGTACATAGCCCAGCAGGACATTCTCCAGGCCTGTGAGCCTGAAAAGCCCAGAGTAAGAATTGATATGTGTCATGCCCTCGTCTGAAATAAAGTCTGACATCAGTAGGATGACAAGTTCAATGAAACATCGGATACAATCTTACATACACAACCAATCAAGGTCGTCAGCAGGGGGGTGCGAAAAGGGCACCCACAATTTTCAAGCCACAGTTCTGCCCTTACCCAAGCTAAACCGGCGCTCCCCTCCTCACTGACTTGAGACAAAGCATCAGCTAGCACTACCCAAGACAAAATCCTGCCGACGCTCATGCAACCAATTGAATCTAACAGGTGTTTAGGCCAGGGAAACCACTGGAGAAATTTAGGGAATATAGTAGATATTGCCTCGCCAAGGAATACTTAACGCCTTAGGTAAGCATGAGAGGGTTTTGTTGGTCAGCTGCAACCTCGTGCGAGGATCACGCCCCACACGACCTTCTGGCAAAGTGTCTCAGACTCACCACTTTAGGTACAAGTGGCGCTGGCTAACAATGCCAAGAATTAGATGTGCATAAATACCCTATGAAGCAGACATTGAAGTGCCTTCACTGTAGCTCACCTGGTAAAGCCCAGGATGCGTAATTGTAGAGTTGTTCATTTGGACCTCATTGACAAAAAGGGTGAGTCTCTGTATACTTTGATTCGTTTTAATTTATGTCATATCATTTCTATACAACAGTTAAACACAACACCAGATGTTTTCCATGGCCTGATTGTTCATTCATTTGGCTGTGTCTAACAAAAAAAAAGAACTAGCCCATCGAAAAAGGATGCAACAGTGACATGTTGAACTGAAAGAATGGCTCAGAGGTCTTGCTGCCGACAACAGCATTGTAATTTAAAATTTATACATAAACTGGCGGAACATAGGAGAGGCCTTTGTCCTGCAGTGGACGTAGTCAGACTGATGATAATGATGACACAAGCTCACCCGCAGGTTGTCACATGATATGCAAGTGTTGGACACCTTTGCAACAGCAAAACGTTACTTTGCTCACCAACCACCACCCTGCTACACCCCCCCCCCCCCAACTTCTTCCATATGCTCGTATATACAACCTATAAGCTGTGTCATGCCCGCAAGTTTATGTAGTTCTGTTGTTCTAGCTGAGTGGCGGTACGCACATGTGCGTGGTGGTAAAGATACAATATCTGGTGTGGATTGATTGATATGTGGGGTTTAACGTCCCGAAACCACCGTATGATTGAGAGATGTCGTAGTGGAGGGCTCTGGAAATTTAGACTACCTGGGGTTCTTTCTTTAACGTACACCCAAATCTGAGCACACGGGCCTACAGCATTTTTGCTTTCTTCGAAAATGCAGCTGCCGCAGCCGGGATTCGACTCCGTGACCTGCAGATAAGCAGCCGAGTACCTTAGCCACTAGAACACTGCCGCGGAGTTATTTTATCTGGTGCTTCACACCGCAATACTGCAGTATGGTTATGAGGGATGCTGTGGTGGAGGACTCTGGATATTTTCACCATCCGGTGTTCTTCAACGTGCACCGACATTGTCCAGTACAAAGGCCTCTTAGCATTCCGTCTCCGTCAAAATGAAACCGCCACGACTGGATTGAACCCGTCACCTTCGGGTCAGCTGCCGAGCACCGTAACGACTACACCACCGTGATGAATGAGCGGTAAAAGATGGATAGCGTGGTTGTTGGTCAGCACAGATACATTTTGTTGTTGCAACCAACACATAATGCTTAACCATTATTCCAGAATTTTCAAGTTTGCATACAACATCGAGCTGGCTATTGAAAATTTTTTTAGTTTGAACTGCATTGAGGCTAGTTAGTATAACATACCTGTACCTAAAGAGCAGCGCTGCAAGGTCAAGCAAGCACAGGGACAAAAACCACACTAACGAAGAGTTCTGTTTCTGTATCTTTTACTACTTTACAGGGCCGCTCTGTAAGTAAAGGTACATATTTATAATGTTGTATAACATTGCCTGATGTGACTCGCCACATGTTCCTTGCATATAAAGCGAATACTTGTTATCTCCAAAGTGCACTGTGCATATAATCGTTGCACATTTTCTGTTACAGGGTAACCTACCATAATTATGCATACCATATTTACACGACTGTAAGTTGACTCGAATGTAGGTCAACCCCCCTTAAAATCGCTCAGAAAAAGAAAGCCTTAATTTTGTTTTTTATTGGTAGTCAACTCAACTTCAATAACAATAACAACAACAACAATAATAATAATATTGATAACAACAACAACAACAATAATAATATTGATAATAATAATAATAATAATAATAATAATAATAATAATAATAATAATAATAATAATAATAATAATAATAATAATAATAATAATAATAATAATAATATCTAGGGTTGTGCACCCCAAAACCACCATATGATTATGAGGGATGGCATAGTAGAGGGATTTCGAGCATCTGGTGTTCTTTAACGTAAACTGACATTGCACAGTACATGAGCCCCCATCTTCCATTTCAACTATCAAAATGCGACCCCCATGGCCAGGATCGAACCCGCCACCTACAGGCCAGCTGCCGGGCACCTTCGCCACTGATCCATCGCAGCGGGTGACCCCCAGCTTCAGACTTCGAATTTAGATTAGGCGGGTTGACCTACAATCGCGTAAATACGGTATGTAGTAAAAAAATGCCTGGTCTGCACGCAATGCACAGCACAGTCACAGTGAAAGCTAGAGGAGAGGCCGTTCTAGAACGCCTCAAAAATTCTCTTGGGGTTGACTACTACAAGTACAGTTAAGAGCTATCCACTATGCCATAATAAGGCATTATGTCTACTTTTCCGATGCTGTAGCTGACGACCGAGACATATGGCCGAGATCTTGGCGACATGAGGGAAGCTTTAAACCACCCATTCTTTAAATACTTTACAAGATGTGACACTTCGCCGTTATTCTACTCTTCCGCCACGCTATGTTGCACCTGTTAGCACGATTTCCTGCCCGACGTGGTGCCTGCGAAAGGTCATTTTCGTGAAGAAGTTTCAAGCACTGGTGTGGCTCTGAGGCAGAATACTCAACTGCTACACAGGAGTGCCTGGGTTCAAGTCCCACTCAATCCTCGATGTTACTTCTATTGCAGTGCGTGACAGCAGTTGCGGATACTAGCGACAATGGTGGACAACCATGCCATAAAAATCAGTTGTTGCCATCTCATAACAGCTTCACTATGTAAAAAAAAAAGGAAAGAAAAATAAGCGTGTGGTGGGGGCAGCCCCGTGGTGCGAAGACTGCTGAAACTACAAAGCTGGTGGCCTTCTTTTTCTCTCCTCCCCACTTCCCTTTTTCACCCCTTGCTGCACTATACTATACATAGTTTCCTTTACCTTTGTTGTCACTTTGCCTTCCTCTTTCTTTGTCTTTCTCTCTATCCTTTTACCATTCTCTCCCCTACAGCAACGAAATCAAATGGCAGTTGAGTGGTTACGACTCTCGCCTTCGAACCGTGGGTACCCGGGTTCGATCCAGCCTCGGCAAAAAATTTTTATTTTGTTTTATATATTTCTCTTCCTTTCCACTTCCCTTCCTTCCTCAAAAGCTCCGTTTCTCTCAACACTCGTTCCCTCGCCCATACCAGTCACTGCACCTCACGTCAGAAAAATCGGCGCAGGTGTTCTCGAAGCAAAAGCAGAAGATAAAAAGAGCATGTGCCGGTCGAGTTATTGTATTGCATGCACTAAGCTTTAAAGAGGCCATCCATCATGTCTGCTTGCGACTAACGAAGTTTTTCTGAGCTTAAGCAGCTGCGCTGTTTAAAAGAAAAGAGCAGATGGAGTGGTAGTGCGCACCTGGCCACGCCATTTTGGAGGATGACGTTGCCCAGGTGTAAGTTGTAGAATGCCGGGAAGTCCTTCTCGTGAAGGAAGAGCAGGCCCTCAACTATCTGCTTGGCCAGTCGCTGCACCTGGTCTTGAGGGAGACCCGTCCCTTGCGGACGGTACTTCTCTTGCCAGTCCTCGTTGTACTTGCTCTGCGGGCAGGTAAAGGAACAAGTAACCGCTCACAGCCTAGTCCACAGCCTACGTGGCGCTGTTTTTGGTGCTCTTGCATGGTGCGCTCTTACAAGTGCTCTTGCATCATGCATAAGGCAATACTCAAAGCTCGGCTCATGTTCAAGTAGAACTTTCTATCGGGCTAGTTGGTGCATGTTTTATGAAAGGAATAAGGCGCAAGCGAGATGAACACAAGAGGAGACAAGGACGAATGCCTAATTGCTCATCCATGTCTCTTCATGCCTTTGTCTCGTTTGCACCTTATTTCTGCTCTCACGTTCCTAAAGAGATTTCTTGTAATTAAAGAATGTCACTGCAATCTTCACTTGTACTGGTGTCACGTAGGGCTTTTTGCACAGCCGAGCCGAACTGGATTTCTTAATTATACTCATAAATGGTTGCTGCTACATGGTCTAGACTAATCCAGATCAAGTTTTGAGCAATCAGCCAAATCATGGTCTGGGAGCCAGATCGTGACGCGCAGATCGTAATCATCTTAATCCCGATTATGGGTTATTGTGATTAAAAATGACAGTGTAGTGGCAACTGATCTGCATGGAGCCTATTCCTGATTAGCCATCATCACGATTAAAAGTGCCCGTCTGACACCAGCATAAAATCTAAGTGATGCTAAAGCGGAACACTCTATCAGCTTAGACTAATGAACGATCCTGAACCACAATTGAATTAAGCCATATGCAAATGAGGCAGCAGTGCTACTTTGAATGAAGCAAAACCACTGACACCACCCTTCTCTCCACCTTGCATCATGGGAGGGCCTGACAGCTTTCTACAGTACATTCAACTTTGTGCTCAATAAATCAACTATTCATCCAGTTTATATAACACTCTAACCGCACTTCCATATGTGCCCCGTAGACTTAGACACATGAGCTGTTCGCCAACATTTTTCTTAGACCATTCCCAACAATCGGAAATGAGCGAAAGTGCACTCACATGGTATATGAGATCTTTGAGTGACCCAACGTCGTTTAGCGGAGACACCACCACCACGTGCGGCCGCTCAGCCAAGACCTGCGAGTTGAAAGGTCTTCAAAGTCGGGTCCAAGTTAAAATCGCTAGGACACGTTGCTTTCATGTCTGTTGGCAATCACTTGACCAATACAGTGAAAAATGAGCGATCATTTTCTAGAGTGATACGTACAAACTAAAGCCTGCAGTCAAACACAGTGCAGCTGTGTGCCAGATTTTATGGCATCGGACAAACAGAGTGGACAAACAGAGTGGAGCTGTCAATCACGTGCAGATTTACGTTACGCTAAAGAGACACTCTCCAAGCCGCGCTCTCGTTCTTTCCTTCACTAAATCATCCACAGTCTTTCTACCAAAGTGCAGCACACTGGCTGTTCTGCATTCTTCTTCTCCCACTATGACATCGTCCGTCGTCTCAGTTGCTAATATAGCCTACAGCGTAATGGTAAAAACATAACCCTACTACCACAGCATTAGAATCATATTTCACTACTTCAGTGGGAAATGACCATTGTTTCTGTCCAATTACGTGGCCGAAGTACCTTGATGTCGATGTCGAGCACCGGGTGTACATAAGGGTGCTGGAGGTCAAGGAAGATCTCCTGCAAGCCCGGCCGAACTTGACAGGGTGAGTGGCGCAGCGGACATGCGTCCGGAAGCGCCGTCACTGTCAGCAGGCGCTCGGTGCGCGTCGCGCTGTCCCGCACCACAAACCAGTGCCTGTCCATGCGGCTGCCTGCGGGGCAGCAGCACCAGACTTCCTTTTTACAATAAATGCCATTTGTCGAGTGCCGTGTGGTCTATAACGCTGGCTGTATTGCGTATTCTGTGCTTATTGAAGAAACAACTGGTGCCTAAGCTCAGCTCGTCGAACTACGCTCGTATAACGTGAATGTTTCAGCAAGCAATTTGTTTCTTCGTCAATTTTCATTTTCCCCTCTATACTATAGTTACTGCATTCTGATCGAAAACCATGAATAAAACCACCTGTGCCTCACCATACGTTGGCTTCAAATGATTATGTCTAAGAAGACAGGGGCACCTCAATTCATTCCCCTTCTGTTGATTGATTGATATGTGGGGTTTAATGTCCCAAAACCACTATATGATTATGAGAGACGCTGTAGTGGAGGACTCCGGAAATTTCGACCACCTGGGGTTCTTTAACATGCACCCAAATCTGAGCACACGGGCCTACAACATTTCCGCATCCATCGGAAATGCAGCCACCGCAGCCGGGATTTGAACCCGCGACCTGCGGATCAGCAGCCGAGTACCTTAGCCACTAGACCACCGCAGCGGGGCTTCCCCTTCTGTTTGTGACTAAGAACTTGCAACTACTGCAAATGTCAACCCTTACAACCCCCCCCCCCATACCACCAATTTTTCATAACAATACATATTCTGCACCTTCCCCGCAAATGCACAAGCTCCTTTAAATGTTGCATATTCCTTATTTACATCCTTGTAGCTGTTGAGGTTCCAAGAATGTTTTCAGCTTGAAATTTGGTACCTTAGCTGTAACACACTGCAAAGCAAATACCACCCATAATGGAAATCAAGCAAACACAAGTGGTAGGACAGATGCTGAGTTCACTGGGGTTACAACTGTCATTCGGAACACACCGCAGTGTGTGTTGGGTGTACAATGTTAGTCTGTTTTTGTTCGGCACGATATTCTATCACAACGTATCCCTTTTCTCACTCTGACTGAACAATGTGGCCCATAAAGAGGGGCATATGTATCTTGCTACGATGACTAAACTTGAGAGCTCACCTATGTTGCAAAGCTGGTAACGAAGGAAGTACCTTGTTGAGCCCCGAAGGTAGTACTGGCAATTGATCAGGGCTTCATCTGGAAAAGTACAAATTCAATCATTCAATCAATTTAACATTTCAGGGTGCAGACTTTCCAAGTACCGCAGCTCGTGAAGGGCAGAAACGAATCTACTGTTTTCAAGGGATGGCAAACTCGCATGTCCAACAAGGAATTTGAGATTCGGATTGTTTCTCAAAACGTGAGCACCATTTACAGATCAGTGAAGATGGAGAAGCGTGAAAGTAGGACAATATCAGATGGCTACAAGTTTCAAAGGTGGCCAAACTCATGAAAGGAAGGAGGCTAGAAGAGATGAATGCTTGGAAGTGATGTGTCAATGGAGCCAATACTTCAGCAAGTCGTCTCTTCAAAGCAGCAACTTATCACCTTAAAGAATTCAGGGCCACTGGTTGAAATCACGGCTCCAGCAACACACCCTGTTGAAGCAATTCTTTATCTATTATACAATGTGCATCGCAAACAGGATAACTTGGCAATTACTTATGAAAGCAAATTACTAAATTATCCTAGTTCCACAAAAGTCGCTTTCTTACTACAGGCTCTTTAATGGTAAGCACTTACTGCGATCAATATCACCACGTAGTTTCCGGCTTAGTTCTAGTCGATCAGAGATGAAGCTGCTTTCGTTGTCGAGAGCCAGGTACTCGTGTCGAGGATACCTACATACCAGAACAGTACATTTTCAGAGAAGTACAGTTATTGCATAACGTCCTCAACGATTTTTTTCTTATAAACATAGCAAGCATGTTAAAACAAGTGAGCATAAAGTGCTGATCAAGGGATGCAGGTTCTCCAAAACAACAAATCACCCACTTGCCTTATCTAACCGTGCTTTAAATGATATTAGCGCAGAAATTCAGTCAACAAAAACTGCAGTATACTGGAGAACAATCACTTAGATTCACAAAGCTGGCAATCTGATAAGTTTTCTCTGTATTGATAAAAGACCGAAAGTCCTGATGTTTAGCCGATACCACAGCGTAGAACATCCGTGCAAATGTTCACCTACCTGCATCGTAGTATTGCCCAAATTGCTATGGCAGCTAGTGCCATTACAGCAAATATCGCTAGAAGAATTACCTAGGAGAAGAAAAGAAAGGAAGGAGAGAGAGAGAGAGAAACTGCATGCATATTTCATACTTTCGCTGTTCAAAGGTGACAGCTAACAACACTTCAAGTGACAAAACCGTATCTGATAAGACCTCATATACCACGACTCATGTGTAGCTCCGCGTGAGACGTTCAGAGAGTGGGCATGACGTTCGAGTTGCGTGCCAGAGGTACAAATCAGGGTCGACCACGAGACTCAACCTGCATTTAGGTACAGCATAACCGACGCGGGTGTGTTTTACTGCACGCAACTAGCCTTCCGTGCACGATTCCCTTACCAAGCGCAGCCGGTCAGACTAGCGCGCTATACTGGGCCGCGCGTGACTACAGTGCCTACACTTTGATATTTAAGACTCCGCGAAGTAGGATTACCTCGTTCAAGAAACGCTTTCAGAAACACGCCCTCTGTGTAAGAACGCATTTCGCCATTTCGTGAGTGAATCGTCGGGCGGTTAAACAATTGCACTGATGTCGAAAGAGCTACATTACGATGTGCGAGTGCCGTGCACCAGTCGTGCCGAAAGTCGGGGTGCGAATACCCAATGCGCTTCGCTTACCCAGTAGTACTCCTTGGCGAAGTCGTCCCACTTAAACGTCATGCTGAAAACTTAGAAAACGCGGGCTAAAATGCCGCCGAAGTCAACAGCCTACGGCGAGCGGTAAATGCCAAGCATAAACGAAACTCAGAGGAGGCGAACTGGAGGAAGCGGTGGGAGGGCAGGGGAATTTGTCGAGCTAGCCGTCCTCCATAACTATCGGACGCCGGGGCGAAGTAATTTGAGTCCTACGCAGTGAGAAATGCATCTAGGGACTTGTGGGCGAGTCATCTTTGACTACAACTTATACATTTAAGAGAAAAGCGCCTCATCGCGCAAGCAGCGCTCACGGGCGCACACTTGTTTTCAAAGCGGCGTCTCGGTATCCATGACGTCGAAACTAGCCCTCTAGTGAGCGCCCTAAAAACTAGTCTTGGAACGTTTATTCCTGGTTTATCCCATTCGAAACAGAAAGAAGGCCCAAAAAGTGAACGTAACTAGAAGACATAGTTGACGTTGAGGCAAAGCTGTTAGGAGTCAGAATTGTTATTACATTGATACGATACATGTGAAGCCTGTCGAGCAGGGTGGTCTTTCGGCGGTAAGCCGTTGGTCCAGTGTTCGAGTCCCGGATCAAAACGGACTTATCTCCAACTTCGAAGCTGTGTTGCTGATAACTGTTCATGGACTTCGTTTGTAGCATTGGGCTAATGAGTTGTTGACAAAGTTTTTTTCTTTGATGATACTTACTTTCTGTTCCGGTTTCGCTTTCAGATTCCAACTTTGCATTAGGTTCCGAATTTCCTGCTCCCGTAATAACTGCTTTAAGCTGATGCAAATGACGAAATATATTCAAGATTTATTTACAAGTTACAAACCACATAAATATGTCCCACATGTTTATGTGGACATCAAATAAGCGGAGTACGCGGCACTGCTGAAATCTATATAGTCATCGGTTTCATATCGGTCAATCTTAAATATCGATCGATTCGCATAACTTGCGGTAAAACTTAAAGTATTATAGTGAAAAGCACTTAAGTAATTTCACTTGTCGGGCAAAGAGGTAGGACAGATAAGTTCATTTCCATGAGTGGATGATGTATTCGGCCCATCCTGGCCCTGTGTTGTCATAATCATAAGCAACAATAAGACTACGGGACAACGCAAGCAAATAAATTTAATTTATATGCTCATATTTATACTAACAAATTCTCCCCAGTAAAACACCTTTTATCATAACAGTATGTCATCAAACAATGGCGCATCCTCCACTTCAATCCTCTAATTTGGGGATCAAAAACATTTGCTTGTTTAGCACGCTAAACTAAGCATAATTGACGCTTAGCGCTGCTGTTTACCGCGGTGAACTGTTACTTCAACTGCTGACAAATCAGTCAAGCAAAGTCTGTGTAAAAGCCAGTTTAACTACTACTCCGAGGGTAACCAAGATGCAATTAATTATCGATGGATGCGGTTGTGACGGTGATTGCTTGAGGCTTTTCTGACAAATCATACAACTAAAGAAAGTGTGAGTTAAACTGAAGAATGAGGACTAAACTACGTGAACTTTTCTCGATACGTAGTGACGATTTACGGCACCTGTAATGCAAATTTGCCTCTGTGAACCTGTAAGCGGGCTTCTCCATTATAAGGGTCATTATGGGGAAAAGCACGCTTCTGAGTTGTAACAACGCTACGTTTGTATAACTTTTAAAAAGCATGTGCATGTATGGTGGAATTATAATAAGATTAATCACATTAAAACGTAAACAGACGTACGTTAAAATGTAATAAAGTATTTATCACTTTCTTGTTCCATTTTGTTTTGTTTGTACAACTTTTTACAGCGAAGCTGTTCGGGCTCGGCGTAAATTGTCGTGACCCAAAGTTATCATCATCCACAACAGGCAAGCACTCCCTTCAACCTTTTCTTCGTCTTCTGCTTCGCTCCCAAAACACGTGCACTGATTAGTGCGGTGTATACATCTTTTCAACAGAAAGAAGGATCTCCTCCTTTCTGGGCTGTTGCTCGGGGGTACAGACGCCGACGTCACAGCCAAGCTAAGCTTATATGAGCCGCGCTAAGGCAAGGTAATTACAGCCAAGCCCAAATAAAGCGCAGTCGAGTATGGTAACACCTGGTAGCTAAGCATAAATAACCTAATTCGGCAAGTACCTAATTGTATCTAATTAAGTCAGCTTGAATTAATAGTCTCGCTATCAAGAGAGGTCGCGCTCGACAAATCCTAACGAACCAAATCCAATTAAGACTAATTAGTAATAAATATAATCAAGTAACGAGCACTTATCAATCATGTGGTTAATTAAGCACATACACAATAGCTTAATTCGTTAGTTATCTGAATCACCAATTAGCCAGCTAGCTTTATTAGTATAATTACGTTAATCTAATTAGGCTACTGGAACCGTGTTGATTCGTTGCTACTACGTCATGGTTAATCTATATCCGTTCGATACCGATCGATAAGCTAGTAGCCGCAAATCGGGTTACAAGAGAGATCGCGTGAACACTTCTTGCAGCCGCGTGAAAACGCTCTTTGACTTGAACTCTACTCGTGGCCACCAGTGCGTTCGAAACGCTTTTGTTCTGCATCGAAGGCGATGAGAGGTCAAGTTTAAGTCAAGGAGCGTTTCATAATACGAGGGGTTGCTGTATCACTGCTCGAAAGTTGAAAAAAAGCCTGCTATGACCCAGCTTTGCGCGATTTTGCGCAAGCTGCGCTGATTTTTATGCCGATAGCGACCAGCCAGATAAGATGAGCGCACAAGCCATAGTTTTTTATCGCAAGTGCAAGAAATAGCACACTCAAATCTATATACTCGTCATGTGGACTACGAGTATAATTAGCGATATAACGTTTCACAAAATCACTGCCTCACGTGCTACTTGCGTAAAGTAATTCGAGCCAATTTTGTTCGTGTTTCGACCACTCTTTGTACACGCTAGTTCTGCTGATTGATTTCGCGGAAAGGAGAATCTGCCCTAAACAGAAAAAAAGATTAATGTGCATTTTTTGAATAATGTACCAAGACAAGCTCAATCAAGTAGATTTATCCGGAGGATCAGGTGCTGATGCCGAGGGCATCTGTACCGTGCACCCTCTGCCACCTACATTTGGGGCGAATAAGTCACTGTAAATTACAAAAAGAGAGAAGCATCAACACACACACACACACACACACACACACACACACACACACACACACACACACACACACACACACACACACACACACAGTTGCAGTGGCTTAGCTCAGGTATGCCAGGATATGCGTAGCGTGAGCTAAGGGGGCACCGCTAAGCTCAGCGTTTCACGCATGACATTAATTACGGGCGTCAAGTGTTTCATGTGCCACAGTCTCTCGTACACATCACACACATATCCAAACGGATTGTTTACGAAGTCCGTCTCGAAGGTACGAGTACTAGAATATTCAAGGGACCATAGTATAGTCAGTCAATCGGCCTCCTGGCGACGCCGCCTAGCAAGACGTTCTTACCTTTACTCCTATGTCTCCGCGGCAAGTTCAGCCTTCTTCCGGTCGCTCTTCTTAAGTTCAACCGCCTGGCACCTATATACTTCTGGGTCTGATGAGTTATACAAGGCAACTAGTTCTGGATACGATGAGTTAAGCTGATCCGCTCTTCTGCGCCGCTGAGCAGCAATTTCGCTTTCCGTCTCTGTGGCCATGTTATAATGGCAAAAACCCCGCTTTGTGTATGTATCGCCGCGGCAGACGCGACCAAAGAGAGCAGCGTAGATCAAGCTGCACGAGTCCGAGGTGTATACGATCCGAATGAGTCTGCCACGGCTCGTCGCTCTTCTGGAATTGTTGTTGTTGTTGTTGTTGTTGTTGTTGTTGTCCTCCTATTGTTAGTGGCGCATGCGCAGACCGGCAAGGCGCGCGCAGCCACTCCTCGCGCATGCGCAGCACGACTCTTGCACGCGAAACAGCTTTGGTCCAGCCAGTGTGGCTAGTGCTGCAAAAGTACAACCAGCTCCACGCCATGAAAGGCGTCGGACGTGCGAAGCGGTTTGTAGTTTCTTTTTCGATAACTCACAGCGCAAGAAGGACGCAGACGAAGTATAGGACGACACGAGCGCTGTGTTGTCACACTTCGTCTGCGTCCTTCTTGCGCTGTGAGTTATCGAAAATGAACTATCAGCAACTAGCCCAGATTTCCCTTCTTGTTCTGTTTGTAGTTTCATTCGGTCCGTTCAAGTCTCTTATCGTATCCCGAGTGTACGAATCTATCGCACTTCACGCGCACCCTTCATAATCTATCATACATGTGATCCCCTTTTCGTTACACTGACTCTTCTCAGCATTACGTATATAGGCTCCATCACGTGACCCTTCTCGATCCCGTTTGAATCGCGCGTCTGCCGTAGGTTTCATCACGTGACTCCCAGCCCTTTCCCCCTCATCAAACCACGTCCTCTACACCCTGGTCACGTGACCTTTGTTTAGAGTGATGATGCGTACATTGCCGACGGCACGGGGTCCCCATATACAGCTTGACTGTAACAAAAAAGCAAAAAAAGAAAAAAAAACAAATGGTGGATGCTAGTGACGTCAATGTGCAACATTGAAGAAAGAATGATTATAGCGCAGTCGTACCATACTTATCGCTTCTCATCTTAGGACACAAGTACTGCTAGTGTCTGTCGTAACAGCAGCAGAAAAAAAAGACCACTAGAGATAAGGTAAAATCAGCAAAAACGCCCCCTTTCCGCCTCGCCTCTAAAAGTGGCGTGTATATATCCTCATCGCTCAGCCATCCTGGATTAGTGAACGTATATCGCGTACGCGTGTCTGTTGCGGAGCGGGTAGCGGAGATGGGCGCGTCAATTTTATCCGTATTTTTACTAGCGCTACTCCTCTCGGATTCCATCATCTGCGGCCGCGCCCCGCAAACGGAGCATGCAGAGAACGTCGATCCCGCCGCAGCATCGTCCAACCACGGAAGAACTTTCCTGAACTTTGACAGTTCCCCGGCCCAGACGCACCTCGAATTCAACGGCGGCTTTTCCTCGAACTTGCACAGGGATGATGGCCACGGCGGTAACTCCGGCGTCTTCCCCCATCCTAGGCCGGGTGACACGGGTTCGGTGCTGGGCGATTACGACTACGCGACGTACGACCAAAGCAATTACCCCCAGTGGCACAAGGTTCATCTTACTTCCTCCGAACACGACGGGAACGCAGCGCAACCTTTCTGGTCCGCTTTGGGCCAGCAGCAACCAATGGCGACGCACCTGCCTCATGTAGTTAACCCAACGGTCGCCAATAGACAGACTATTGACCTCTCAGAGTTCCACCCCACCCACCCATTTTTCGGGAGTATGTTCACGAAGGGTTCGCCGAACGCTGGGGCTCGTGGTACCACGCCGCCGGTAGCGACCGAAAATCGTCCTGGCTCTAGGGTCGACACGACTTCTAAGACCCCCACATCTGGAGAAGCTGAGCGGACAACTGTGCCGACGTCCGTCGAGCCGGGAGTTCACGGGAACCGTGATAACAAGGCATTGCAGAACGGCGCTCCTCTCGCAACCTCGTCTCGAGTACTGCAAACCGTCGGCATCGCTACGGCTTCAACCACCCGATCACCACCGACGCTCGGTAAGATCGCTGAAGCATCCACACCAGGAGTTCGTCCTGGGCTGGCTGAGTCAACTCTCCGGACGACCACGAGCCCAATAGGCGCTACTACTACTCGACACGCTGCAGAGCCTCGCACAGAAACAGACATCACTAAGGGAAGTGTGACGTCCGCTGCAGTAAGTGCGACAAGCGGTACCACATCATCTTCGACTGGCGCGGCTCCCGCAGCCACGGACATAGTTCTACGCCAGGCGGTCGCAGAAACCGTCGTTCCGCCTCCGGAGCATTCCGGTGCTGTCGTGAATCTTTCCACACCACCAGCTGGAGCCAACCAAGTCATCGAGACCACTACTGGCCACTCGTTCGCCAACGTTGCAACCGGTAGTCCTCCAGTCCACCTGCAGACGACCACCAGCGTAACTGAGACCACAGCTACGCGACCAGTAAGGACCACGCCTTCGGACAAAGCGTCGCCGAAGACTGACTCTTCTACACTTCCTGGGATCACGATGCAGCCGTCTAAGCTTACAACTTCCCCGGTTGAAGTAGTCCCCCGAAACGTGTCTCAAGACATCACGACTACGCAGGGCACCACGACTTTGCCCGCTGTCCCGAAAGTCGCCGGGTTGTCTGGTCGTCTCGAGACTACCACCAACTCTCCGCCTACCACGAGCACTCTCATCGACGGCGTATCGAAGAATCGCACCACTGAGGCTTCTACCCGAGCACCGGTAGATGAAAAGAACTCTATTCCACCCAGAGTGGACGTCGAGTCTTCGACGGTAGGCACGACTTCGCCAGCGGTCACTGCCGGTGTGCGTCGACTGCACACTAGTGCAAGCCCCACCACACCCCCGCCAGAGATAACTCTGCCAACTACCACAGTAGTACAGGGAGCGGAAGAAACTCCAGCGAAAAACGCCGCGCTCCAACAAACCCTTCCGCCTCCACGACCTGCTAGTCCGGTGACTACCACTAGGCCCCCGGTCACGCCCGACGCCTACTTCAGCCCGATCACGCAGCATGGTCCTCACGAGTTCGTGCCTCAACGCCACAGGGACGTGGAGGATTACTACTACCACCGCTACCAAAAAGGCTTTATGGAGGATGACGACCTTCGCCAGGGCCAGTGCGGCAGGTGCCAGCGCAGGCTTCACTACTGCGTGCAGAAGTGCTTCACGCACCACAGCTGCGAGGCAGAGGCAAATCCAGGTAAGACTTTGTGACTCGTCTGGTTTATCTTCAGTCACACATGCACGCAATCTTTTATTCATGGCATTGGCTATGTACTTTTTTGCATTAATTAAATGCACATGTAGGAAAGATCAGGCATGCGCAGTGTGAGATCCAGAATGTGCTGTCTATTTTTCTATATTGCTGTGGCCATATATCTACACTTTAGACACAACGCGATAGACGCACCACGTGCCTATTAGTGTACTGAAGATTCATGCTTCGCCCTAACAACTTGTAGAACAGAATAGAAACAAGTCTTTTTTTTTCCTCGCCACTTGTCCTACTGTAGCACGTTGCCGTCGGAGCTCTCGCCTTTTTACGGCAGATATGCGATAGCACGCTGCATCTACTAGTTTTCAGAGCCAGTAGCCTCCTGCTTGTGGTCTCTTGCGCGAGTAAACTGCAACACTTGTCACTACTTTACAAGCCTCCCGTCTAGTTCAGGGCTTCTCACCTAAACAGTGACTCTAGATCGTAGAGTGAAACAACTGCTACACTGAACTTTGCGTTTCTCTCTGCAGAGCTCACGTGCCCCCGCATCAACGCCCCCTGCCTGCCTCCTTACAAGCACGAGGTTGACCAGTGTCGTCACAGCAACGAGTGCGAGAGCGCCAACCACCTGTGCTGCCTGGTCGGCTGCGCGCGTCGCTGCGTCCACGGTGTGCCCATCCAGAAGCAGCACTAGACGGTACTGCTTTGCAGTTCTTCTGCTACGGTCGCCAACCTTCAACCGCCCGCGTTCGAGTTTACGCGCACCCACTGCGCCAACTCTGTGATCTTAAATTGTGACGGCTAACGTACTTTCATGTGCTTGATATAAAACGGTCGCACGTCGGTGTTTTACTCGTTTTTTTTTTTCAAAGAATAAAGTTTTATCCGCGCTTTAACGGTTTGTCATGCCTCGTATATTGTTCGCCAGCGAGCGGTGTCAGAGGGAAATCTTTTTCGTTTCGCCACAGCCCTACACAAGACGAATGCAGTTTCAACGCGCTATCTGGGAGAAGCACAGTTGGCTTGCATTGGTGACACTGCGACTGCTGTGATGTAGCATCAGCATGGGAGGGGATGGGGCAACACGAAGTACGTTATGCCGGATTGCTGGGGCCCTGCAACACTTTTTGAGCATGGCCAGAAAACGCTGCCGATCAGTAGTAGCGGCTCCCGACAACACGCGAGCCAATTATTAGCGCAGCACGCGGCCTGGAATTCGCAAAAAAATGTCAAAATCGGCTAAAAATTGCTTTATCTTCTCTCGATAAATCGCAGAAAATAAGCCCAGTACGCCTATTTGAACATGGCGCGCTCGGTTGTTACAGAGCTCGCCGCGAGTCCACGCGTACGAGCAATATCGCACTGAAAAGCCTCGTATTCGAATAGAACAAAAATGCTGAAGGTCACGAGGCGCAAGTGACTTTTTTGTTTGCCTTTCTCATCCCTCCCTGCTTTGCTTCCAGCGCTTCCAGCGTCGGGACGAGAGAGAAAATGTGATTGCAGCGTGTGACAAATCTTCGTAACTCCGCTCGTACTGGGCGGATTCTTTAAATTTTTGCGACAGTGAGTTGGTGAGGTAATACACTTTTCCAGTGAATTGATTCTATGGCTACTCAAAAAAGTGTTTCAGGGCCCCTTTAACGTAACCTGCACATGCGAAACGTAAGGCAAAGAAATAAAAAAAATTAAAGCAGGTTAATTGCAACGTGTTTGTGTTGCTTTAACTTCATGAAATCTGCCATCTTGGCGTACACGTACGCTCAGAAGCTGCGTCCATGACGTCACGTGAAAGTTGTCCACAGTGCGGATGAAAACTAGGAAATTCGCAGATTTGCAGACTTGTATATTTGAAGTTGCGCGCGCACGTATGCCTGCTCTGTGAAGGTGTATGGAAGAAACAAGCCTGCGTATCCAGGGCGTATCTCGATACCGTTTCTCCCTTCCCTCAAAGTTCAGCATGTGACGAAAGTCGTTTGCCACCTACTGCCGTTTCGTTAGATCACTCAAAGTGAAGCTCGTTAACTTATTAGTCGTAAGCATGTGTCCGATCGCCCTCGCTAGAGTCGTTTCTACACGGACTCTCCCCTTCCCCCCAGAGTTCACCGTCGTTAACCTAATTAGAGTTAATTGAACGGGTAGCGTACTGCAAAAGCACGAATGAAGAAGAAAAAAAAATGGTAAAGAGCGCAGACATCACTAGCCTGCAAAAAGTTCTTATTACAACTATTTCATGTTCACTGTGGGACAAAAGCCTCTCCCAGCAATCTCCAATTTACTTTGTCTTCCGGAATCCGACTTCATTTAGCGTCTACCAACGATAACAAACAATTAAAAAATGACACAATCTCCCACTAAAGTGAACCACGAGTAGCGTGCGAAACAACGCATGGGTCGACTTAAACTTACGTTCATGTTAATTCACTGAAGTATTTAATGCTGCTACTCGTCTCGAACTCTTGTTGGAGCACAGCAAGCGGGTTCATCAACACGCTTGCTGTGCTAATAATAATTTATTATTATTATTATTATTATTATTTATTATTATTATCATTATTATTATTACCTGGTGTTTTACGCACCACATCCACGGTAGGATTATGAGGGACGCCGCAGTGGAGGGCTCCGGAAATTTCGACCACCCTGGTGTTCCTTCACGTTCCCTGGCATTGCACAGTACACGGGCCTCCAGCATTCCACCTCTATCAAAAATGGAGCCGCCTCCGCCGGCATTCGATCCCGCGACATTCAGATCACGTCACTACAACATACCCTATCTATACTTGCAAGGTGTACCAGGTACCCTATCTATACTTGCAAGGTATACCAGGTACCCGATCTATACTTGCAAGGTATACCAGGTACCCTATCTATACTTGCAAGGTTTACCAGGTACCCTATCTGTACTTGCAAGGTATACCAGGTACCCTATCTATACTTGCAAGGTATACCAGGTACCCTATATATACTTGCAAGGCATACCAGGTACCCTATCTATACTTGCACGGTATAGCAGGGTTTGTGTTACGCACATTGTCTAATTCCGCCGTGACAAAATTTCACAATACGGCGAAATTTGACCATGTACCCACACCAGCACTCGTTATTGCTGGCTAATGTTTTCTATTAGCCCAAAGGTCACGGGATCGAATTCCGGCCGCGACCGCCACATTTTCGACGGAGGCAAAAATGCTTGAGGCCGGTGTGCTTGAGTTTGGACGCACGTCAAGGAAACACGGGAAGCCTGAACTTCCGGAGGCCTCTACCGAGGTGTCCCTCATAATCGCATCGTAGATACGAGACATTAAACTCCAGCAATTATTAATGTTGGCTAGTAGTGCTATAATAATTGCTATAGTGTTGGCTATGCTGTGTTCTATTACCAAGTTCGTCTTGATTAGCTCTTGTTATTATAAGTTGAATTGCCCACCAACATTTTTACGGGGGACTGGTCCTGCTCGGAGGGCTTGCAGTGCAAGACAGACTCTGTCTGTTCTCGGCTCCAGATTTTTTAATGGATCGCGTACAGAAGTAAACACGGGTGCAGGCGACTAAGAGGACATTGTACGCACTCCTCTTTTTTGGTAGCGTGGCCGCACAGACTTAGCGACACACATCCAGCAAGGTCGCGCGATAGTATACAACGCCTATCTGTCGTCACCCACGAGCGACGCCAACGATCGCGTCACAAATCGTCCCATCTTCGCCACGACCGACGAAGGAAGAAGCGTTCGCGACGCCTCCGCGAACGCGTCCCGCGCGAACTCGGCGACGCTGGGGAACCAGGGGAGACGGAACTTCCACGTTTGGAACTGCTCCCACTCGGCCGTCTCGTCGGCGTCCCGTCGGTGGGACGCCGCGAAGCGTTCCACCAGCTCGCGGGTCACGTGGTAGGCGTACAGCACGTTCGTCCTCGGACAGTGAACGCTCCAGTCGGCGCTGCGGAACGTTGCGGCGTGTGGGCAGAGTTCACTTCAGGCCGCGTTAGTGCATGACAGGGAGTAGAGCGCGGTAGCACAAGTGGCAGTTATAAGGAGTTGCAAAATGAATGAATAGATGGATGGATATGGCTGTACCCTTTAGATCGGGCCGTGGCTAGCGCCACCAAGCCACCAAAAAAAAGAATTGTTGCAGCACCATCTGTACATATGTACAAGCATAGCCTCCTATATTTTTTTGTGCCCGCGCATTAGCGCTAAATACATACGCGCCATCCGTCCCTTATAGTTTTGGCGCTCGCCGCCAGATGCCGCACCGATCCCATAATAACAGCAGACGACGCGGCCTATGCACGCTTGCGTTTATGACGGTCTAGAAACCGTCTACATTGGATTATGCGTATACGTTAAGAAGTGCGCACACACCAAATTTTTAACACAAGCACTGTATGCAGAATGCAATGTGAGCTTTGTTATTTGATTTCGCGCTCAAAGCTTGAGCACTTTTCGAGACAATGGTTTGACATGAAAATCTTTTGCCAAGTCGTGTTTGTCAGTCACACTCGTCGCGAAGTTCAGAAAAAGTGGGCGGAGAAACTTCACGAGCACAACCTCCAAAAGTTTTTTATGATGTCCCGGGGTCGAGCACTTGAGTTTGTCACGTTTCTGTAGTATTTGCGCGGCGTTGTCAACGGCAGCCTTCAGTGGCTGATTCATCTTTCTCGCTCTTGCGAGGAAAACTTCCGCGTAATTCTTTAGAGAATTTAGAACCATTACGAGCTCAGTTGACGGATACAGGAGTACACCTGGGTGGATATCTCCACATTCAATCAGAACATGCTCCGCCGTTTCCTTATCTTTCCCGCAGCATGTGCATTGTTCTTCTTCTTTACTGAATCTTGCTTTATAACTACGCGTTCTAAGGCAACCCGATCTCGCTTCAAACAGTAAAGCGCTTCCCCTTGAATTATCGTAAAATGCCTCCCTCCTTATTTCATTTTTGCCCTTTCGGTAGTTACTCAAAGCCGGTTTTTTCTCCATAGCTGCCATCCATTCTCTCGTTTTGCGCCTCGGCGCTCCGCCAGGAGCGCTCGCATCCCATAATAGCTCGGGGGACGGCGCTGAGGGACCGACCGCTCGGGCACAAAGTTATAGAGGAGGCTATGGTACAAGAAACAGCCAATGTCCGCCATTGTGCACGAGCAGTTTCATGCAATTGGCTGGCATGCCTAGCACCTGGATTACAAAAAATGCTCACATGGAAATGAAACGCCCATCTCGCGTTCACGCCACTCGCACGAGTGGCGTGTTCTTGCGCGTTTTTTTTTCATTTTTTTTATGCACTAAGGCAGCTCAGCCCAGCGTTGCTTGAACACTTCGGGGCTTTTTCCAGAGTTGCTGGCATTTATGCAGCTCATCAGTTCCGCTTAGGATAAGCGGATTCGGGCTTGTTTTTTTAACGAACCTACTTGCATCATTTTCTGCAGTCGCTTGTCACAATTTTTGTTGCTTATTTTCATTTTCCTAGCAAATATTGTTAAACAATAGCGCGTTTGTCGATAGCTTTGAGGAGTTAGGTGTTGAAATATTGGGAGAATCAACGATTAAGTAAAGTTAATCACGCATTGGCGAAAGCGCATTCAAAGCAGAGTCAACTTTCATCCGCGTGCTTCGCATAGCATCGATTGCTATATGATACCTGCCGATTTTTTTCATTATTAAAGAATATTTTCTAGAATGAAAGTTATTTATATTTAAGCTTCTTTTGGGCTAATTCGGAAGCATTTGCTTGTTAGCTCGGTCGCATCTGGCAACCCAATTACAGCATGTAGTTGTATAGCACTGAGAGTGAAAGTGTGACGAGGGGCACTTCATATAGGAACACAAAAGGAGGGCACGGTCTGAAACTGCGCCGTAAAGTAGTAGGGCTCAGGATAGTAGTAGTAGAAGTAGTAGTAGTA